ATATCACATAGCCAAAATAGTGGGGTCTGGTGCACGCGTAGCCTCAAATCAGTACAACTTAGTCCAATGTGGGGCATGGCATACGCGTCACCTCAATATCAATATAACCGTTGCGGCGTGCAATCCGATCCAAGTATCCATATCAATATGACTCTATGGCCCATATCAGTCATCAATCCGCTCAAGTCTCAAATATGCAGACATCTCACAGAAACACATTCCAATTATAAAACACAGAATATCACAATATATTTCAAATGCAGTTCGAACTCGTGTCACGTACCAGGACACAAATAACACGTGAGACAACATATCAACACAGAGACATAAATATAACATGCAGATGTAACTGTCATGACTGTATAGTGTGACTACGGCTAAGGCAAATAGCTCAACATGGCGAAAATAACCCTATCATATCTCAAACAATTGAGTAAGTAGCCTAGGCATGATTTCTAATATGAATAATATCCCATGTAGTCACGTAAATGGAGAAAACATTATATCAAGGAAGCATAATAGCAAACAAGGCGTATAATAGCCTAAAAACTACCCGGATCATGAATACCTTAGTGCACGCACCCGCGCTCGTCACCATCAAAACTTCGATCTGAGGTCAAATACACAAAAGTCAAACTTGGTCAACTCTTCTAACTTAAAGCTTCCTATTTAAGAATCATTATTCCAAATCAATTTCGAACAACTCGAAAACCAAAAACGGCCATACACACAAGTCATAACACACCATATGAAGCTACTCATGACCTCAAACCACCGAGCTGAATGCAAAAGCTCAAAATGACCGGTCGGGTCATTACAAAAATAATATTAGGGTACAAAATATTGCATGCACAACATTAGGAAAGCGGTCAGTGCAAATACTTATCATGACCCCGGGCTCGCCATCCCAAAACTTATGATATAAACCTCAAAGATCTCTCCATTATCGGAGAAGTCACCAAGATTTTTCCGACTCATTCCTCAATGTCTAGGATGCTCTCCGGAGCTATGAGCGTGGCTACAAAAAAAATTCAAGACATTGGCTTTTAAAAGAAAGGAAAGGAAGTCTATAAAAACAATCAAAATGAAGTGGCCTGTTCATCATTCCATTTCTCCGAGACAGCCTATCTTAGGGCCGGATCAACTCTCAAGTAAGGACTATAATAAATCGGTCGAACCAACCCCTATTGTGATTATCCTCATAATCTACGAGAGTCCATGTACCCCGACTAACCATGGAAATAATGCTCCCCTTAACCAACTTGGAAGCAAAGAGGTGCAAAATATGCAACAGAGAGAACTCTACATCAACCACACTTACTAAGTAGCAGAAGCAGCCACAAGCCTCCAAAGATTTGGCCTAATCTAGCCCTAACACACCCCGAAGTGGCGGCAGAAGTCGAGGATCACATGAACTATCGGGGGTTCAAACCTGAAGGTAAACGGATAAGTATAAAAAAATAAAAAATCGGGTCGGTGACTGGAAATCCTCTTGTTCACTTGAGAAACATGAATGGTGACACGGTCGCCCCAGCGGCAGTCATGAAAAGTTTGGGGCATATGTTCTTCACGAATAAGAGAATCTATGTTGTCAACAAAGGAATTCCCAAATTGCCCTGATGCCTTGTTCCATACCTTAATGTCCCCCTAATAATCCAAGCTTTTGGGGGAACCTCTATGATCATGAGCTCAGAATTTTGCCTCTCCTTCCGACATTTGTGAGATTTGGGAGCCTTTTTTCTGAAAAGGGACAGCAGATGAAGCTCTCGCAGAAGCAACAGGCATAGAAGCAGAAGCAATAGGCAAAAAAGAAGGGGTATTTTTCGGCAAAGATGGAGAAGCACCACTAGCTATAGGCATTGAAGGATGATCACTACCAAAGGAAGGTCAAAACCTTGAGAATCCATGGGAATCACAAACATAGGGGTTGAAAAACGAAGGATTGATTGAAAAGCTAGTGAAGCAAGAAAGAAGGAGAAGAAAATTAGCAAATGAATTTTAAGTTAATGAGGAGGCCCATAACTTGGTATATATAGGCGGAAAAATCCTCCTTTCATAACCACCAAAGTTGGGAAGGATCCCTATCATAATTAGTCATCACTGCCTAAGGACTGTAACATATGAAGAAACCAATGAAAGACAATCACGCACCTTAGTGCATTGCGCATGAGTCATTTCAGTCTTAAAGATTGAGTTTTGTTAAGATTCATTTCTTGTTAGAGAAGAATTTTCTGCAAGATTGACTCCTACCAAACGATTACCACTTATTAGGCATTCGTCGTCGAATCGCCCGACAAATGGAGAGACTGATTGTGTGGATAGAATTTACCCTCTCCACATAGCGTGCCAAAAAGTCCCGAATAGCGAGAGAGATCCAGAGATCTAGACAGAAGACGAGACCCATTATCAAGTTCGGTAAGCCCTCTTGCTCCAGGGATGACGGTCTTCGGAAGGTCAAGCTTTCGAAAGATGGGTGTGCTTATACGGAGACCCAGTCAACTGTACCCGTGGATCGTGGATATCAGACGTTATGCTGAAACAGTTACCATTATCAAAGATCTCGCTTTCTACTACCTAACTTCCTGGTGTGCTAGCCCAAAACTCGAAACGACATTACTCCCTCTACTACTATAAAGGTTGTCCTAACGCTCCAAGAGGGATCATCAGAAAAGAAAAAGATAACTCTCTTCACACAAAGCACCATCTTGTATTATAATCTTTTTTGAATAGCTTTGTAACTCTATCACTCCTGCTATCAGAGATTGTTTGGAGATTGAAAATCAAGAAGAATTTCCTCTACTTTATCATTTTGTTCAATCTATTTTTTTTTTTATTACTGTTTATTATTTGCGACTATCTTAAATCAAACAAATTGCTAGTGGCATTGAAAAATACAGATTCAATATTTATTCTCAAAATTAATTTTTGGGTCAAACAGTTTATCATTTTGAGAAGTGTATGCAAGTTTCAGATATGCATTTATACAAGGCCATGTTTCGAAACCACATATTAAAATATTACAGAGCTTTTACAATTTGGGAACACTTCTCAATTATAAATCCAAATCAAGCATGTCATTCAAAATTAATAAAAATAAAAATAGTTGTGAAGGAATTAATTTTATTGCTCTATATCTGGGTTTCCACCCTTCTACAATAAAATATGGTAGAAAATAGAGGAAACGAGAGTCTAAATTGGTCTAGATTTTTAATCCTTTTAATCAAAAGAAGTCTACAAAAAATACATTGATCAACTGGGTCTTGTATAAGATTTTTTTCTTGGGAATCTTACGTAAATATTTCAAATAAGTTCCAACTTATCAACCTATAGCCATTAATCACAGACTTACCAATACTAGCCAATCACATATAAAAATTAAAAACCCAAAAAAATAAGGTTCTTTCTCTCCAAGAATCACACATAAAGATCTCCTTCCATATTTTTAAGCGTGATCAACAACATTAGATGCAAAACGGNAGATGAGTCAATATACAAAATTTGAGGAAGATTGGAGGTGATTTGGACTGATTTGGTATCAAAATTCGTAGTTAAAATCGAGTTTAATTTTTTTTCTGCGACACGTGTATCAAACTTGTATCACGCATGTATCTCACACACATATATACATGGATATACATGTGATACACATTTGATACAAATATGATACATATGTGATACACAAAGGATACACTGTGTGATACACATATCATTTTTTTCACGTTCATCTTCTACTTCGAATTGTCAATTTAAACCATCTCAAAACTCTACCAAATCATCCCAAAATTGAGATTCAAGCTCCTTAAGATGTACCTAATCTATTTTAATAACACCTACTCAAAAAAAAAAAAAAAAACTTTGACATTTGTTTGGCTACAAATAGCTAATTGGCTAATATTGGTAATATTTGGTTAATATTAGTAATATTTTATGAATTGACCAATTTTTGTAATAAGCTACTTTTAAATGGATATATTTAATAGTTTCCCTTTTTTCTTCGGGTGATAGTTTCACTAAAAGTACTTGAAAATAATTCAGGGTTAATTACATAAAATATCATGGACCTTGTAATCTTATAACAGAAAGATCATTAAATTAAAATCTTTTAAGGAAAAAAATTACTGAATATTTAAGAATATCAATTTGGCAAAAAAAAAAATAATAATAATAATCGAAGAAGGCTGGTTGGAACTCATTAAAATATATGTTAGTCTTTTTCTATTAAAATAGATTTTCAACTTAAAAAATGTTCCCTAACACAAATAAACTATCCTAACTTGAAACTTGTTCCATTGTATTAAAAATCTATTTGTTCAAAACTCAAATCCGATTCAAAACATAGTTCAAGCTCATATTTGTTCACAAAATCAGATTTCTAGCAACGAAACTCAATCAAAATCAACAGAACATATTTCCCATCCATACGGCTAGGGAAGTGCTGACGGCTAAATCATGTACTAAATTTAAGAGCCCGTTTGTACGTAATAAAATTTTCCCTTGTTTTCCAAATTTTTTTTTAAAATCAGCGTTTGTTTATAAAATTTCTAATTTTTACGTAAAAATGCATTTTGGAAATTTTCGAAATTTTGAAAAACTCCAAAAAGCTATTTTTCAAAATTTTCATTCAGATTACTCACAAAACTTTAAAAACAATCCAAAATTATATTCATGTCCAAACACAACTCTAATTTTCAAATACCATTTTCACTAAAAAAATTTTTACTTTTATTTTTGGAATTTTACAATTCTTATGTCCAAACACCCACTAAATAGAGACTAAACCGAGTAATATTTTGACCATTTGGTTCATTATTGGGATAAACAAGCGTTTAGCTATCCCTACTTCTATCCGGATAGCTAATCTCACCATTGTGATATAAAATTTATTTCAAAATTAACTAATGCATATAACTAAATATAAAATACATACAATCTCATGTTCTATTTCGGGATTACTAGCCTTATCCGACCCTAAAGGTAATTATGTCAATGAAATACTCGCATTTTATCTCTTGTAACCAAACAACTTGCGCAAGTTTCCTCTCCTTTCCTTCCCTCACAAAACAAACGACACCAATCCAACCAATTCATCCTCCCGCTTTCCTGAGCAGTGGCTTCTTCTTCACCAAGCAAATTCCAAAAGAAAAATCCCCCCTTTTCCCCCACTTCCCATGGGAAAATCTTGATTAGGAAGATAAAAGAAGAATTGATAGTCAATGGCAGCCATTTCCACATGCTTCTTCACAGTGAGACCCACCAAGACTCAATCCATTGCATTCCCTCGAAAACCCTCTTGCTTTATCCTAAAACCTTCAAGAATACACTCTGGGTCTTTCAGCAAAAACCTGATTTTAAGGCATAATATAAGGAGGAGTTCATCAGTTCATTGTAGTGTTGATGTTGAGGTTAAGGCTGGAGGGATTGTGGAGAGCGATAAGCTGCCGTCAGATGTACGGAAGAGGGCAATGGACGCAGTGGATGCATTGGGAAAGAGGGTTACAGTTGGGGATGTTGCTAGTAAAGCTGGCCTTCAGTTGTCTCAAGCTCAGAAAGCTCTCCAAGCTCTCGCTACTGATACTAATGGCTTCTTGGAGGTGATATTTTCATCTTTTTTTTTGCCCGACCCCTACTTTTCGCTGTGTTGTTGTGTTGTGTTTGACTTGTGAATAGTATTTTTTTTAATGTGTAAAATCAATTGCTTAGTTTGTGAAAATTATTGGGGGTTTCGTCAATTGATTGTTTGTGTTATTGTATTGTGTTTGTTTGAAGTGACTACACAATTTCCTTTTGTCTAATCTCAACCTCCACGCTGTTCTGTTGAAAATAACTCAACCTCTCCAGAACGAGACCGGATTTCTTACCACTCAGTGGAGGTATCATACATGTGTTAATGTAAGTGGTTACTGGACAGTATGGACTATGGAAGATTCAAGACATGGTAAAACTGAAAGAATACTACTAAAGTTGCCAAATTTGGATATATTTATAAACTTAAATAGCATAAAAGCTCCACCAAGTATTTTGAGTGCCATGTTATCCCTTTACAATGAGTTTCCTATACCCTCCAAATTCAACCTGTTGGGCGCTGGTAGTCCTTATATTTATTTATTTATTTATTTATTACGGATGATTCAAATAAATGATAGACCTGAAAGAGCAGTAATAGAATCACCTAATATATAGTCAAACCTCTCTATAAAAGCCGCGTTTGTTCTAATATTTTTTGGATGCTATAGTGAAGTGATGTTATAAAGGACATATGTTATGACATACATAAAAGTTTGGTTCCGAGAAAACTTGACTTTTATAGTGAATGACTGATTTATAGGGATGCTGTTATAGAGAGGGTTGACTGTAGTTGTATTATAAATTTAACAAATGGATCCACTGAGCTTGAGACAACTGAAGTATTCAGATGGTGCTTCACAGGAATCTATGGACCACATAACAATCCAGAGAGAGAAGTAATGTGGAGTGAGATTGCAGGAATAAGGGGACTTTGGGAAGATCACTGGGTAGTGTGAGGTGACTTCAATGTTGTTAGGTTTGAGAGTGAGAGGCTGAATTGTACCAGAAGATCAAAGGCAATGAAGTTGTTATCTGAAATTATTCAGGACCTAGATGTTATTGATTTACCTTTACGCGGGGCCCAATATACCTGGTCTAAAGGAGACAATTGTTTGCAAGCCTCGAGAATTGACAAATTCCTTATCTCCAATGATTGGAATGACTCTTTTAATGCTGTGAGACAGATTGCCTTGCCTAAGGTGATTTCAGATCATAGACCAATTATTTTGGAGAGTGGTGACTGGGATGCAACCCCTTTCTTCTTTAAGTTTGAAAACATGTGGCTTCAATCAGAAGGATTTCTAGGCAAACTAAAGAGCTGGTGGCACAAAATTACACATTCACTGGTAGAGCTGATTTTATCCTTATGCAAAAGCTAAAAAGCCTAAAGAAGGATATCACTACCTGGAACAGGGAAGAGTTTGGGAAGGTGGAAACCAGGAAAAACAGGGTACTAGAGGAGCTAATGGCACTAGAATAGGCTGCAGAAGACAGACAATTGACTTTATCTGAGGCGAATCAAATGGTCAGTATAAGAATAGAACTGCAACAATTAGCCAAAGCAGAAGAAATTTCGTGGAGGCAAAAATCAAGGTGTCTTTGGCTTAAAGAAGGGGACAGAAACACCAAATACTTCCAGAAGACTGCCAACTCTCATAGAAGAAGCAATTGCATAGACAAACTCATGGTCGGGGATGAGATCATAGAAGATAGGGAGCAGATAAAGCAGGAGACACTGGATTTTCATGAAAACTTGTACATTGAGTAGGAAAGTTGGAGGCCATCTGCTAATTTTGAAGAAATTGCAACCATTACAGAAGAAGAAAATGAGGGGTTGGAGGCATCTTTCACTGAAGAGGAGGTTCTTGCAACAATTAACTCTAGTGCTCCTGACAAAGCACCAGGACCCGACGGGTACACAATGGCTTTTTACCAGCACTCATGGGAGTTCATTAAACATGACATACTTGCAGCTATGAGTTACTATCACCAGCATTGTTGGATGGATAGGTCGTGTAATGCATTCTTCATTGCGCTCATTCCTAAAAAGAAAGGGGCAATGGAGCTAAGGAACTACAGACCAATTAGTCTAATTGGCAGTGTGTACAAGATCATAGCTAAAGTCCTAGCTGAAAGGTTGAAGAAAGTAATGGAAAAATTGGTCTCAAATCAACAGAATGCATTCATACAAGGAAGGCAAATTACAGACGCTTCACTAATAGCCAACGAGGTCCTTGATTGACAGTTAAAGCAAGGGGATGCAGGGATCCTATGTAAGCTGGACATAGAAAAAGCCTTTGATCAACTGAACTGGACCTACCTCATTTTCATTCTCAGGCAAATAGGATTTGGGGAAAGATGGTTAAAATGGATCAAGTTCAATATCTCCACTGTGAAGTACTCCATTCTAATCAACAGGAGCCCAGTTGGTTTTTTCTCTCCACAGAGGGGATTGAGACAGGGAGACCCACTTTCATCACTCCCAACATCCTGCTTAGCAAATGGGATCAACTGAACTCAGTAGGATGTTGGATAAAGCTAAGCAGCTGCAATGGTTGAAAGGTTTTGATGTTGGGAGAGGAAGCACAGTCAATATTTCTCATCTGCTCTACGCAGATGACACCTTGATTTTCTGTGGGGCAGACAGAAGTCAAGTGCTCTATCTAAATCTAACCCTTGTTATATTTGAAGCTATTTCGGGTCTTCGCAGTTCGCATTAACATGCTCAAAAGTGTAATCTACCCTGTTAATGAGGTGCATTATTTAGAAGACTTGGCTGGAATTTTAGGCTGCAATACTGGATGTTTACCAACTACTTACCTGGGACTTCCACTAGGGGCAAAGTTCAGGTCAGAAGCTATATGGAGTGGGGTCATTGAGAAATTTGAAAAGAAACTTGCTTCTTGGCAGCTGCAGTATTTGTCTATGGGTGGAAGACTAACTCTAATCAGTAGTGTCCTAGACAGCATCCCAACCTACCAGATGTCACTCTTTCCAATGCCTAGTAAGGTCCTGAAGCAGCTTAACAAGATCAGAAGGAACTTTCTATGGGAAGGGACTAAAGATGGTCACAAGTTTCACCTGGTAAAGTGGTCTAAAGTTATCTTACCAAAGCACCAAGGTGGACTAGGGGTCAGGGACTTAGCTTTGCACAACAAATGCTTACTGATGAAATGGCTATGGAGATATACACAAGAGGAGAAGAGCCTATGGAAGAAAGTTGTCAATGCCAAGCATGGAACCCAAAGCCACTGGTGCACCAAGCTATCTAGAGCACCACATGGAGTTGGAGTTTGGAGGAGCATCTGCAAACTCTAGGAGGAGTTCTCACAAAACCACCACTTCGCAGTAGGAGATGGACAACAAATAAAATTCTGGAAGGACAAATGGCTAGGCAACACACCCCTAAGGAATGACTACCCTGCTCTTTTTCAAATGGTTATTGATCCAGACTCAATAGTTCATCAGTGCAGAGAGGGCAACTCGTGAAACATAACATTTAGAAGGAACTTGCAAGATTGGGAATATGAGGATCTGCTCAGACTTCTTTCATTACTCAACAATTTTTCAAGCAACACTCTAGTACCTGACCAGTTCAAACGGGGTAGTTCAGATGCAGGAAAGTACTCAGTCAAAGCAGCCTACAAGTTAGCAGGAACTCATAATGTATTAACTAACCAATGGCCTTGGAAGTTAATATGGAAAATCAAGTTGCCACCCAAAGTCATCTGTTTCAACTAGATTGCACTTTATGAGGCTTGTCTGACACAAGACAACTAAGCTAAGAGGAATTTTCAGATTGTGAATAGATGCTACATGTGTCAGAGGGAGGCAGAAACTCACAGTCATCTTTTTCTTCAATGCCCTGTTGCAACAGATTTATGGAGTATGTTTATATCACTCTTTGGGCTTAGATGGGTCATGTCACATAATATCAGGGATGCTTTTGAGTCTTGGAGTTACTGGAAAATTGATAGCACCATCAGGAAAGTATGGAAGATGATACCAGCAGCTATTTTTTGGAGCATTTGGAATGAAAGAAACAACAGGTGTTTCGATGGAGTATCAACTTCTCCTCACAAACTCAAGGCCAGATGCTTCATGTATTTGTATAACTGGGCTTATCTTTCCCCTATTGACTCCCCCAATAGTTTTTTGAATTTTGTTAGCTCCCTAGTACTAGTATAAACATTTGTAAGGAGCTCACAATTACTACACTCTTTTGTAATTTATGCATCTTCTTGATGCCGTTAATGAAACAAATTACTTCATAAAAAAAAAGGTTCTTAAACTATTTTAGGATGTGCATCATAAAAACAGTGAGTTCCACCTCAGGTCCTTCAAGTTCTACTTGTTTAGTGCCTATGGTCATCACATTGAATATCAGCCAAAAGAACCTCTAAAAGTAAAATCTCTAGCTCAAATGGCTTAGTTAATTTTTTTCGATTAGATATTATTTTTGATAAGGATAGGGAACAATGAAAAGAGAAATAAATGCAACACATATTTTCCTCTACATTTTCTTTCTTTTAATTTGTGAAGATTTTAATTGATCTTCAGCTAAAATATCATAATTTCCATTGTGTGAGCCAGATATTTGACTTTCCGAAGGTTGATTCAACCAGAAATTTATATTAGGATATTAATGCCAAGCAATTAGATTTGGAGGACGTAATGGTCAGATATAATTTTTTAAGAGTGTCACTGCATTTTTATGAATAGTGAAGGACCTTTGTTGCCATTAGCACATTTTACCCATGAAGCTTAAATTGGCAACAAGGTAAAGTTTTCGTTAGTTTGATTAAATCAACCTTTTAGAGAAAATAGAAAAGGTTAACACGAAGGATATTAACGATATGCTTAAGAGTGATGGACATTGGTAACTGTAAAGTTCACAAGATCCAACGCAAGGTTAATGTATGCTGTGTCTGTTGACAATTTTGTTCAAGACTCTATTAGATTTTTATGGGTGAGTCCTCTAAAATTTTGTAGAATATAATTTACAAATTGAAATTTTTACTTCTTTCTTTTGGAAGTTGATCACCCTTTAATGGATGACTTGAAGAGCAATGCATTTATTCCACTTCTTGATTGTTTATTGAGATTTTGGCTAATANGCATCTAGTCCACATCTTGATTGTTTATTGTTGGCTAATTTGTTTTTGGCAGGTGTCAGATGAAGGTGATGTCCTTTATGTATTTCCTAAGGATTATCGTTCAAATCTCACCGCTAAATCATTTAGGATGAAGGTTGAGCCTTTCCTGGAGAAAGCAAAGGTATTAGTCCTTTTTTATTGTTGATTTCAGTGCGTGTTATTTTGAATAGGTTTACCCATAATAGTTCTCTTCTGAGTGAGTCTCGATACTTTGCAGCTTGCAGGTGAATACTTAGTGAGGGTTTCCTTTGGTACAGCATTAATTGCTTCAATTGTCATTGTCTATACAACCATAATTGCTATCCTCTCTAGTAGAAGGTATCTGGAGACATACCAAACGTCTTGGAATCATTTTCTGCCTACTTTTGCTTGAAATAATTATTTTTCTAAAATCATCATTGTTTCCTTTCTAATGGGCCATTTGTTTCTGACATTTGCTTTCTTTACAGTGAAGAAGACAATCGGGGAAGACGAGGCAGATCTTATGACAGTGGTTTCACATTTTACTTAAGTCCAACTGATTTATTCTGGTAATTATAATTTGAGCATTATTTTGGAAGAAGCAAGGTGGCTCTAGGTGCAGTTGTTTTTGGATTTGTTTTGCTTCTTGAAGTTTATAAAGGGCCTCACATATGGTCTCCTCTGAACATTAGCTTTTTTATTTTCCTGATAACCGATCAATCCCCGAAGAGCAGTGGAGCACGGTGTGGATAATGGGCCCACCCCTCTACCCTTCTCTTCTTAAATACCAGACTTTTGTCTGCAACAAGGTTTGAATCCGTGGCGTGTGCCTATCCCACACACCATGCGCTGTGCTCTTACGACTAGACCATGGGGGCTGGCCTCCTTTGAGCATTCATGTCCTTGTACTTTCGACTGATTCCAAGGTTTTTTTGTTATGTTTATAAGTTGTAACAGAATGAGAAATTTAGTGTTTTCTTTTCCTTTATTCGGTATTTAACTTATTACCCCACCTGAGTCAACCTTATTTGTAGGATTTATTTTCCTTATTGTTGGTGTTGTCCAGCTTGGTTTATACTTTTTAGTTTTTACAACAGATCCGTCCAGAAAATGAGAAAACAAATGGCCCTATTGTTGACTCTTTTACTAGTAGCTATGAGCCACCACCTCTGCTGCTTGAGATCTACTAGTTTCATCACTGGCTTTTGCTTCTTCCTATAAGCTTGCTTTGATAGATTGAATCCCTCTATTGCTCTCTTTCATGTACTGTTTTCAGACCCCCAGTCTGCTTTCATTCTCAAGACAATGAGGTGTTTGAGTTCTTTACAGTCAGCTAGGATATATTATGGACAGACAGCTAGGAGGGGGTGGGGGGAAGTAATTTTTTGGTGGCAGCAGCATTGGTCATGGTCTGGCTAAGAGCTGGCACCATTGTTCGAAGGCTGAGGGGTTTTATGAGGGATGAGAAAAAGTAGTTAGGCCCAGATGCTGCTTAGTGGTCTGTCCTAGCGGTACAACAGAATCTATTTTACTTTGTCTTGATGATTTTTAGCAGGGGTGTTGGTGGCCTATACTGTCACAAAAATAACAAGATATAGTGTTTTTTTTCTTCCAACAAATGGATGTAAAACACGCACTCAAAAAAGATACAGATCAACTGCGATTTTTTCATACAGAACCATCTCAAAAAACATGTTCTAGGTTAGTTCCTTCTTATTTTATCAGTTTTCTAGCTGTGAAGATCAAGCGACTATTGATCTTCAAAAGCATATTATATGTTGTGAATGCCCCGAGTCCAGTGTCCTTCTCAAGGCAAGCAAAGGGAAGAACTAGGGCCAACTGGTTGTCAATGGTAGTGTGGAACACGTTGTGCCATTTCTTTCTTGGCTTCTTAGTATCTGCTTGAGTGGCGTTTCACCTCCCTGTATTCGTTTTAGTCTCAAACTTAAGCAATTAAAATACAAATTACAATCCTGCATTGAGGGAGGCGAGCTTAGAATAAACCAACCTTGAGTTGCACCCAAGGGTGTGGCCTAGTGGTCAGTAAAGTGGATTGAGAACCATGAGGTCTCAGGTTTGGTGGACAGAGTTACTCGTTACCTGCGCTGGTTGGAGGTGGAAGGTACTTCGTGGAACTAGTCGGGTGCACGCAAGTTGACACGGACACCACGGTTATTTAAAAAAAATAATAATAAACCAACCTTGAGTTCAGGTACTTCAGATTAAGTGTTCCTTTGAGTTGCGCAAGACCCCATAGTGATGGTTGAGGCAGAAACATAAGTAAGATGAGTAGAATCTTTTTTTTTCGAGAATGGTAACATTTTATAAAAAGAACAGCACAAAGATTGTGCAGTTAGAAGTGACAAAAATACATACTCCAAGAAAAAACAAAAAAAGATAAGAACCCCCCTGCAACTAAAACTTACAGGGAGTCTATGATGTCAAGTATGGATTCACTATCATATACATGCATTTTTTACAGCAAAAAAGAAAAAGTAGTAAACAGTTCATTTTTATTATCTGAATGGATTTCCTTTCTCCTCAAAACATCTGGAGTTCCTTTCATTCCAGACTGTCCATCAAATACAGGCTGGGATCATCTGCCACCATTTCTTCTGCCATACACCACCTATCACACCACCCCAACATCTCAAGAGGTCAGTTGTATCATTTGGCATGATCCAATTCATTCTGACTATGCTCAGAAACAAGTGTCACAATTGAGTTAATCTAAATAAAAGGAGCTTTATTCATTTGAAAAAGTAACAGTAGTAGCACTAAGACAGTTTTATCTTTTCCTTTTTTCTTGATCGATTGGTAACCATAACAGCGAGCCTAATGTCCTAAAAGTACTATCTTTCGCTCTAAGGTATTGCATGCAAGAGCTTTTAGTGCTTAACTGTTTAGAAAAAATATAGTTATTTCTCACATTTTAACGTTCTGACCTAGAAACTGTGATACATGTATTGACAGTGACCCATATATGAGTGAGCATATGATGCCTTTTCCATTTTGAAATATTATGTAGCATGGTTAGAAGCTTCATTATAGAACTGGGCACCTTTCTAATCTACTAAGTTTCTTTTAGGTATTGGGATCCATACTATTATAGGAGACAACGAGTTCGCAAAGAAAGTGGTGGGATGAACTTCATTGAATCTGTATGTGTTAAAAGGCATTGGAGCAGATGCTTTTATATTTGCATCTGATTCTGACATGACTAACAGTTGTTGCTCAATTTGTAGGTTTTCTCCTTTGTATTTGGTGATGGTGATCCAAATCAAGAGATTGAAGAGGAGAGGTGGAAGTTGGTAATAATTGAGCACTGAATTTAGCGGTCCGTTGCTTTTTTTTTTTTCCTTATCTTTTTTCTGCGGTGGGGGTGGGCTTGGGCATGTGAATCATGGGAGAGGAACTGGAAGATGATGGCCTTCGGTGGAATTAGAATTTTACACATGTTGGATAGAGTTGCAACCACTAAGCTACAACTCCAAGCCTAGCGGTCTATCGTTTTCAATATTTCATTGCTGACATTGTGATTACTTGTCTGCTTTTATGTTTTCCTCTTTTCTTCCTGCTTCTGGTAACTCTTTGCTTGCTTTTTAGTTGTTGGTTAGTCTCTACCCACTTAAAATGGCATGAGATATTAAGATGTTCTATTTTAATTGTTTTGGATAACAACATTTTCTTCAACAATCAGTTGTTTTATTTTAGTTGTTTCTTTACAGCATCATCTTTTTGCACTTATGAATTTTTTGCCTATCTAGCTACCTTATAAAAAAAAAAAAAGATACCTTATTAACACCCAGGACATTACTGCGGTAATTTTGTTTAGATAAGAGGGTAGGTATCCTGGATGAAGTTATCGTTGCTTCAATCTTTTTAAGTGTCTATCATACAGACAACTAAGAAGGTGACTTGTAGTCATACCTTTGTATCTGAGTTTGGTGGCAAATACTTTGAAGGGAGGGATGTGCGATTCCTGTTTCTTTTTTTTTTGGGAGAGAAGAAAATGCCAATGCTCCTCTCATTGTCTCATGATGCTACTTGGGTAATTGAGTGATGAATAGAAAGAGTGAGGAAGTACATTTTTGCATGGTGGCCATTTAGGATTATCAATGCTTACTGTTAACTTTTTCTTTCTTTGGGCTGGGAATAAATTAAAATTGGGTTGACTATTGGATCATGGGTGTATAGTTTCCCATAATGAATAATTGGCTGAAAATTGGCTTCTTACTTTATCAGTCATTGGGTCTTGGATGCAATTAGTTAGTGGCTTATTGCCCTTTGCTGGGCTACTTTAAAAGGAATTATAAAGTTTTATTTAGTCTATTGGGTGCCTTTATGGTTACGTTGATCTTCATTTCTGATACTAAACTAAAAGGACACTCAAGGAAGTGTGAAATCAAAGAAAGGGATCCGCAACTGTTGGTGCAGAAAATAGAGAAGAATAATGAGAAAAATACCTGCAATGTGTTTTATTATTGCAAGCTATTTACAACACAATAAACAATTGGAAAACATAACACAATCTTGGAGTAATAATAATTTGGCATCTAATCACATTGTGTTGCTAGTTTTAGTAGTGCCAATATCTGCTGATTTTCGTATCCTAGTTTAATAAAATAGAAACAGCTTGGGTTGAATTAGGTAACTTCTCATAGCCCCATGTTTAATATCCGATGGAACTTCTTGCCTCAGATGATACTGATGAACCAAGCTAATGGCTTGGAATTGTCTATTCTGATAACCAAATAAGAACACTTCTTAACTCACCAAGTGATTTCTCTTGGGACAATCAGTGTAAGGCATTACTTTGTCATTGAAATGGTATGTTTGCACAATGTTTCATCTATTTACTTTCTGATTTTGATAGTTTAATATATCTACTGTCGCTAACTTTTTACATTTTTATGTTAAGATCAGATACTACTTGTAATATGTAGTAGTTACCATTGTCTAAAAACTTTTTGCAGGTAGGGCAATATATATCATCAAATGGTGGCGTTGTTGCTGCTGAAGAACTTGCTCCCTTTCTTGATGTGGAGACTCCTAACAAAACGGTACTTGATGGGCTTTACATGATCTAAATGTTGGATTTCTTTTTCATTATTGCTTGCTTTTTCTTTCCGCCAACACTGCAGAAGTTGTGCTGTAATTTTTGTTTATTCGGCATTTTCAGGAAACTATTTTCAAACCCATTGAACATTTGATAATCCAAGGGTTCATGTTTTCATGATCCAGTACCTAATGTCTTGTTAATTGTCTTTCTTGCTTTATTTCTCTGTGAGGGGAATTAATGGCAAAGAGAAAAGGAGATTGGTGAATCTTCTATGTTTGACAGAAACAAAATTGCATCAAATGGATCAATTACGTATTAGGCAGATAGGGGGGTCGAGATGGATTGAATGGGCTGAACTGGAAGCACAAGGCAGTAGTGGAGGAATCCTAGTTTATTGGGATAAGAGAAGATAAAGCTGCTTAGATAATTATATAGGGCAACATTCAATTACTGTGTTTCTAGCTGAAGAGAATATTGGTTTTCAATTTGCATTCACAGGGGTTTATGGACCTTGTAATCGAAAAGCAAGGAGGACTGTTTGGAAAGAGATGGGAGCAGTTATTGGGGTAATCTCTCAACCATGGGTAAGTGGAGGTGACTTAATGTTGTCAAATTTGAAGAGGAAAGATTAAGCAAAGCCAGAAATACAAGAGCTATGAGAGAGTTTAATAGAACAATTCAAAATTTGGATTTGCAGGATTTACCACTTCATGGAGGAGAATTTACATGGTTCAGGGGTGATGACAATTGATGTGCGTCAAGGATAGATAGGTCTCTAATTTCAGAAAGCCGGGGTGAGCAATTCAAGTTTGTTAAGCAGAGAGTACTGCCCAGGGTGACATCTGATCATTGTCCCATCATTTTGGAGTGTGGTGACTGGAATAAGGGGAAGGGATATTTCAAATTTGAAAATATGTGATGTGAGCACAAGGATTTTAATGAATTGGTTAATAGTTGGTGGAACTCATATTGCATTCAGGGAAGCCTAGATGAGATTTTAGCGAAAACGTTGAAAATGTTAAAGATTGATTTAAAAAAGTGGAACAAGGAAGTATTTGGGAGCTTGGAGCCTTGGAGGAGAGGAAGACAGGGCTATGTCCAAGTTGGAGAGAATAGATCAAGGAAGGGAACAATATCAGAACGATGAGCACAATGAAGCTGACAGTTTCTGTTTTAAAAGAATTAGAGGAGATTGCTATTGCGGAGGAGATTAGTTGGAGACAGAAATCTAGGTGTTTATGGGTTGAACAACGTGACAGGAATACGAAGTTTTTTCACAAACAGGCATATGCACACTAGAGGTTTAATTGTATTGATAAAATGCTCATAGATGGAGAATTGGTGGATGATGAGAAGCTTATCAAAGATCACATATTAAAATTCTATGGAAAATTGTTTCCAGAATCTGAGCAATGGATACCATTGTGGGAGGATGAGGGTATTGAAAAAATAACAGATGAGGATAAGGAGTGGTTACAAAGACCTTTTTCCGAGGAGGAGGTGATTAAAGTTGTTAAGTTATTCAAGGGAGATAAGGTACCTGGTCCTGATGGTTTTAACATGTTTTTTTTCCGAAAGTGTTGGAACATTATTGGGAAGGATGTTTGGAGAGCCGTGGATTGTATCCATCAGGAAGGTATTTTCACCGAGAATATTAATTCTACTTCTATTGCTCTCATTCCTAAGAAGAAGGGGGCAGTGGAAGTAAAAGATTTCATACCAATCAGTTTACTAGGAAGTGTCTACAAAATAATTGCAAAATTGTTGGCTGAAAGACCTAAGGGGGTGATTGGGAAATTAATTTCAGATAAGCAAAATGCCTTTGTAAAAGGGAAGCAAATTGTTGATGCTGCCATGATAGCAAATGAATGCTTGGAATATCTTTTCAAGAGGAAGATGAAAGGTGTGGCTTTTAAGTTAGATTTGGAAAAGGCCTATGACCATGTTAACTGTTCATGCATATTAAGCATTATGAAACAAATGAATTTTGGGGATAGATGGATTGGATGGATAAAATATTGCATATCCGCAATTAGTTTCTCAGTTCTGATTAATGGAAGCCCACAGGGATACTTTAAATCATACGGGGACTTAGACAGGGAGATCCATTGTCTCCCTACCTATTTTTGTTGATGATGGAAATCTTGAGTAGAATGCTTAAAAAGCAGAAAATCTAGGGTGGTTGAAAGGGTTAAAGTGTGTTAGATATGGGGAGGCAGAGATAAAAGTGTTACATGTTCTCTATGCTGATGATACTTTAATTTTGTGTGAAGCTATAAAAGATCAGTTGCTATATCTCAGAGGAATCTTACTAGCTTTTGAAGCAGTATCTGGTTTGAAAGTGAATCTGGCAAAGGATAGTGCGTTTAGCATCAATGCTGAAGATGACATAGATGATTTGGTTAGAGTTATGGGATGTAAGGTGGAGCCGCTACCAACTACCTATTTAGGACTTCATTAGGTGCTAAAAAAGAATTATCAGAAGATGTGGCAAGGAGTCTTGGATAGGTGTAGCAGTTAATTGGTCCCTTGGAAAAAACAATACCTATCATTTGGGGGTAGACTAACACTGGTTAATAGCGTCTTGGATGGTATCCCAACTTATTTGATGTCTTTAGAATGCCAGCATCTGTAGAAAAAAAAATTAAATACTATAAAAAAATAAGTTTTTATGGGAAGGCAACGCTGATAGCAGAAAGTTTCATTTGATCATATGGCAAGAGGTGATGAAAGAAAAAAACAACAAGAAGGGGGGGGGGGGTGAGGAACTTCAGAATGCATAATAAAAGCTTATTGTTCAAATGGTTTTGGAGGTACAGTGATGGCAGTGCTAGGTTATGGAAGCAGCTCATAGATGCAAAATATGGAAAAAAGAGACAGCTGGGCTCCTTGTTTAGTCCAATCCTCTTCTAGAGGCGGAGTTTGGACTACCATTAGTAGTCTATGGGATGAATATACACAATTTGTAAAGCTGATATTGGGAGATGGTAAAAGTTTCATTTTTGGTCTGATGTATGGCTAGGGAATGATTGTGTAAGACAAAAGTTTCCAGTTCTATATAGCTGTTCAACAAATAGAAAGGGGAAGGTAGCAGACTTTTATTCAAGTAATGGTTGGCAGTTGATTTTCAGAAGGGGTCTCAATGACTGGCAGATAGAGGAGTTTGCTCAGTTGATGCAAATCCTTAGTACTGTCAGACTGGAAGAAAATAGGAGAGATTCACTGATTTGGGCAGCATGTAAAGATGGAAAGTTCACAGTCAGAGGATGCTACAGTTTATTACTGAAACAACAAGGATTATATGAAATAGAATGGCCATGGAAAGCTATATGGAGGACAAAGGAACCTGTTAAAGTTCCTTGTTTTGGATGGATTGCAGCTAAGGGAGCATGTCTTACTCAGGAGAATCTGAAAAAACGAGGTTTTTCTTTAAGCAACAGATGTTATATGTGTGAAGAAGAAATAGACAGTCAGTCATCTCTTTATTCATTGCAGGGTGGCAAAACAGTGTTGGGAGCTCTTTTTAAACATGTACGGTGTTAAGTGGGTAATGCCTAACAGTATTAAGAGCTTGTTGGAACAATGGCATCATCAGAAAATGGCAACAAGGAAACGAACAGTATGCAGGACAATTCCTTTGTGTGTTTTATGGACAATATGGCTGGAAAGAAATATTATTTGTTTTGAAGGTAGAAAACAACATATTTTCAGAATTATAAATAACTGTCTTTTGAACTTGTATTTTTGGTGTGATAGAGGTACTATTGAAACCATGGAACAATACTTGGACTTTTTAGAAGAGAGAGGAGATCTGTAGTTGCCATGTTAGTGGCAGATGGACTGATGTAACTTGTACCATCTTGGTGCCTTTTTAATAAATCTTACCTTTTAAAAATAAAACATTGGCTTGAAAAATGATCTGAATTGACCTTTGAATTACCTCTCTGTGGTTTTCTCCTGACAGGATGATGAGTCCTACATCCTTCCAGTGCTTTTGCGGTTTGATGGTCAGCCAGAAGTAGATGAGGAGGTAGGGAAAAGCTTTATCTGTAATATATTTGTTTGAATTTTTCACTTCAGATTATTATGGATGAAGGCTTTTTCTGTGCACATGGCTTTATAAAATGATTAGGTGTGCTCTGTCATAGTGCAACCTTGGCTGCAAGATATCTCGAGGATCATTTTTAGCTTCTGAATTTTCTTGTGTGAAAGTCTCCACTCTCATTATCTGAAACCTAGTGGGCGATAGACATCGGAAGTTATTAAACTTCGGTGAATTTGTCAGTTTACCCACTAAACTTTTATCTCCTCTTTTCAATTAAAACCTTATTAACACTCTTGCCTCTGCCAGCCATTTCATTTAGACTCTTCGCTCTGTTGCATGGAATCTCCAATTTGTAAGGTACTTTTGTTGATTGGTTATGACATGGATATGGTACCTTGTACATTTTAAAGAATTTGCCAAAAACTTAACATGCTCATCTCAGATTCAGACCTGAACTCTAACCGACTCATAATTTCGAGCTGTTTGAAAGAGCATTGATTATCATAAGTTGATCCTGAAGGGATATTTGAAAAGGTTAAATATATCCTCCGAATTTCGAACTGAGTCAAATCTTATTCCTAATCTACAGATTTGGATAATAAAGCTCAAGATATGGTATAAAGAAGTTTTTTCTATTTTTTTTTTAAATTCCAGGTTTAGTCATCAACAGTTTAAATGAAAATAGAAATGTTAAACTAAAAGAAACAACAAAGGGGACTATGAAAGAGAGTCAATGTTACAATATGCAAGTTGATGTAAGCATTTATTTCATTTTAACTCTTCTTTTTTCTTTCTCGACATTTATTAAAGCGTTTTTTTGCATTCGAGTACAAAGAGCACCTCTTTACTAAAATTCCAATGATCAAATTAAAAGTAATGGTTGATTTGCCCTATTGTGTATATTGCAAGGTGTCTGCATTTGCATAGACGTTTGGGATCTAATGTAAATGTTCTTATAGTTTCTTATGCGAGCAACCAACATAGGGTGCTGTAACGAAAAGTGATATGAACTATGAAGGGCTACTGAGGTATCACGACCCCAAATCACCCCGGTCGTGATGGCGCCTAACGCAGTACTAGGCAAGCCGAATCAACCCAAATAACATAAAGTTCTTTTGTAAATTCATTTCCAAATCAGTTATGAACACAAGTCTTGCATTTAATTTAACAAAATACGCGGAAGAAAACAGGTACGTAAATACATCCACACCGCCCGATCATGGTGTCACTAGTCATGAGCCACTAAGATACTGTCCAGTACTGTCTATTCAATACAAGAAGAAAAGACTGAAATAAATAACACTAAGGATAGGAAGGAGAAAGGCAGGGCTGCGAACGCCGTGCAGCTACCTTGCTATCTCCGAAAATACTCAGAAGCTGCTGAAAGCTCTCACTCTGATGCTCGGGCACCTGGATCTGCACACAAGGTGCGGGAGTAACATGAGTATGCCAACTCAGTAAGTAACCAAAGTAAATAAAGTCTGAGTGCAGTGACGAGCATTTAAATCATATACATAATCTAACATAAAATCTCAATGGAAATATCAAAGTCAAATCCGTTGTTCAAGTTCCAAACAATTCGCAAAAAAAACTTTAGTTTCAATGAAAGTTATTTAAAACATTTGATCAACATATTTTCAATAGAGGCTCAGTATAAAGGGCAGTGAAAACAGTGATTTCATAAACAAGCCCCTCGGGCAAGGTATCACTCATAAGTATGGCCCCTCGGGCAAGCCTCTCAGTCGCTCGTGACTCAACTCTTGTCAATCAGTACTCACACTCGGCTCTCCTGCTCAATAGATATCTCATAATAATAACCTCTGCGGCGTGCAGCTCGATTCGTAATATATAGTCGACTACGCTCACTGGGGGTGTGCAGACTCCGGAGGGGCTCCTACAGCCCAAACGCTATATCGCTGCGGCGTGCCGCCCGATCCAACATATCGTTGCGGAGTGCAGCCCGATCCATAACATATATATAATCCTCACCATTAGGTCCTCAACCTCTCTCAGTCATTAACCTCGCAGCCACTCGGGCATCTCAGTGAAAATCAGGGGACTCAGCCCAAACAGTTTCTATATAATTGAAAGTAGAGTAATGAAACTGAATCAAACAATAAACAGGTAAAACCATGAGTTAGGATCCGCTTTCGAATCAAAACAGTGTGAGGAAAGTAGTAAAATACCCCTAAGGGTCCAGACATGTCGGCACAAGGCCCCAAACATGTCATTCAGCCCAAATTAACAAATTCATTTTTAAAACACATGGATATCATATACAGTTTATCAAAATATGCAACTATACAGTCGCCACGGGACGGACCAAGTCATAATCCCTACGGGTGCACGCCCACACGCCTGTCACCTAGCATGTGCGTCACCTCATTTTATCAAAACAGTACGAAATTCTGGGGTTTCATACCCTCAGGTCCAGATTTACAATCGTTACTTACCTCAAATCGGTCTAAACTTTAGCTCACGATGCCCTTGCCTCTCGAATTGGCCTCCAAATGCTCCAAATCTAACCAAAATCAGAATCATAACATCAATATATGCTATGAGAACAAAGCCCACGCGAAAATAATCAAATTACATCATTTCAGAATCCGATAAAAATCACATCACTAGAATCCTTATCCTCCCACGAGTCCATACATACGAAGAACATCAAAATCGGACCTCAAATGGCCCCTCAAATCCCCAATTTAAACTCTCCAATTTCAAGCCCTAATTCTCCAATTTTAACCCTTAAATTCCACTAATTTCATGTCTAATCAGTTAGAAACCACCATAGAATTGAGTATTGAGTTCAAAAATCTTACCTCCAAGTGTTACCCCTCGAATCCCTCGTCAATTTCTCTCAAAGAGCTTCAAAGCTATCCAAAAATGGTGAGAAATGAGCTGAAAATCGCGAAGATGGCTTTTTATACTTTCTGCCCAGGTGCTCCCTTCATCGCGAACACGGTCAAAGCCTCGCGTTCGCGAAGCACAAAAAATCCACTGCTCAAATTTCCTCTTTCGCGAACGCGAGAACCCTCCCGCGAACGCGTAGCTTCACCTGCCAGACCCTTCGCGAACGCGTTGTCCTCTACGCGAACGCGTAGAAGAAATCCTTGGGGTCCAGCTGTTCCATCTTTCCTCTTCGCGAACACGTTCAACTCCTCGCGTTCGCGATCCTTCCAGTGGCCACACCTTTGCGAACGCGAGCTCCCCTTCGCGAACGCGAAGAACAAATCTCTGCAACAAAATACCAGAAAATCTGCTATCCTTTCAAAGTCCAAAATGATCCGTTAACCACCCGAAACTCACCTGAGGCCCCCGAGGCCTCAACCAAACATGCCAACCAATCCTAAAACATCATTGAAACTTGTTCCAACCTTCGGAACACTCAAAACAACACCAAAACATCAATCATCATCGGATTCAAGCCTAAGGATTTCCAAACTTTCAAATTCCGCAAATGATGCAAAAACCTATCAAACCTCATCCGAATGACCTGAAATTTTGCGCACACGTCACAAATGACACAACAGACTTACTCCAATTTCCGGAATTCCATTTCGACCCTGATATCAAAATTTCAACTGCCGACCGGACAACGCCAAAATTTCAATTTCGCCAATTCAAGCCTAAATCTACCACGGACCTCCAAAATACCTTCCGATCACGCTCCTAAGTCCCAAATCACCTAACGAAGTTATCCATACCATCAGAATTCACATCCGAGACCTTCTACCCATAAGTCAACATCCGGTTGACTTTTCCAGTTTAAGCTTACTCAAAAGAGATTAAGTGTCCATTCTTCTACAAAACCACTCCGAACCCAAACCAACCAACACGATACGATGAAATACAGCTGAACAACACATAAAGAAGCAGAAATGAGGGAAACAGAGCGGTAACTCATGAAACGATCGGCGGGTTGTTACATGAGGCAAGTAGGTTTAGGGGCTATATGCATAAGTCCATGGTTGTTGAGGAGCTTTTGATGTCGCTTTCCCTATGTTGCGGGCCCAATAATCTTTTTACACTCCTATATTCTCTCATGTGCTTGTCCTATAATATTTTTTTCCAGGGAAATATCCTGTACCAATTTCCATCACTTCAGCGTACGGCTGCTCCACAAAGGAGTGGAAGGAAGGAGTACGTAGGAAAAAGATGGACTGACTGGGTTGGACAGGTGGAAAGATTTCTGCAAGAAAAGAAGTGGCAATTTAGGTATCATTTTTGTCTTGGTTGTTGGTGATTTGAATTCGTCACCTATGGATTTAACTTTAATTTCGCTAACATAGGTTTTACATTTCAGTAAAACAAGCTCATCGGAAAAGGCATTGGTCATTGGATTGGGTGGGCTCAATCTGTTTGGAGTGATTATTCTTGGTACCATGTTGAAGTATGGGTCTCCATGTGGTCTTTAGACTTTTTAAGTTTTGCTTCTATATTTTTCTTACATCTACTGCTTAAACTGCATTTTGAAGGAACATGACAGTCAGTCCAAGTAGCTTCATCTCATTTGTGTCAGAGATATTTCCATTACTTCAGGTATCATCTGTTGTATCATTCCTGAGCAAAACTTGTTTTAGTCTATTATATCATCCAAGTATCGAGATCATTCATGTCTGCAACTGTTTATTTCTCACTTGAGAACATTCATGTTGTATGCAATCACAGCATATAAAGACTTCTTGACATCTTTTTGGGTGATAAAAAACATGGAGCTGATTACTTCATTTGGTTATTTTGCTCTTTTTCTTTCAATGTTGTTTAGTGCATCAGGAATTTACTACTCTTTTGAACTGGATGATGTGCTTGATTAGTTGTAAAGTGACTCGGTAACTGCGAAAACATTATCTTGAAATATTGCTTGCAGTTTGTTAAAGGCTTATTTGAGGTGCACTTAAACGTTGAAGCTAGATTATGAGCTTCCCCTTGCTTACGTGGCGCTGTAGTGTTTGTGCTAAGGTGCTAAGGTGTGCGGTTCATCACCCATGGGTTGTGTTTTTAAGCGGTGGTGCTAGACAATAAATATAGCTGGCAAACTAATACAGTAACCCAAAAAAAAAAAAGCTATTAATGAGTTTTTAATTATTAGGAATAAGAAATTAATTCTTTTAGTATAAGAAAACTAGTTTTGAAAACATAAAATTACATCTTCTCATACAAATGGTTGACTTTCTTTTTACTTCGAATATTTTGTGTAATTATAGTTATTTCAATTATTTTTACCTAAATAGTTATCTTTTAAGTTTGTAATAATTTTTCGTTGCATTACATATATATTTTCCATTTCTTCTTTTTTAAGCGCCTTTCTTCGTCAAATCTCATGCTTTAATTCTGCTGGGGCCTCTGGCCCAGCAGACTTTTGCACTTTTCACATTTCACTACTATGGTTGCCTGATTGTTGAGTATTACTTAAGCTTTACCATGATCGAGCCTGAATTTTTATCTGCTATTTGTGAATTTTGGCCTCAGTTAAAGTAGATTAATTATTGTAAACTCCAGCGCTAGTTGATTATCAATCAATAATTGCAAACAAAATGTCTTGATTGATTCTTATATTGTGCAGTCTTTAATGTGACTCGGATGTATTCATTTGTTTTTTGGAAGTGAATAAGCATTTCAAAGTACTCATTTTTAACTGTATGCTATTACTTGGCAGATTTATGCTGGCTCATTTTTCACTATTCCCCTGATCCGATGGTTTCTTGTTCGAAAGAGAAATGCTGATATTGAAAGAAGAAATCAAGCAAGGGAACAATATGCCCGAGCACTTGAACGGCCTGATCTGGCACTACGGCGAAAGGTATGAATAGTTTTCTGCTTAGTTTGCTTATGTTTTCCCCATTTCAGAACTTCAGTTTCCGTGCTTCAAATTCCACATTTTACAATAATAACATCTATATGTAAGAAAAGCTAGCTATCCATAATTAATTGAGAAATAGGAAAGATAAAAATCTCATACATGATACACCTACTTCATATTCAATTTGTTGAAGAATTAACGGTGAAGGCCAATGAGCAAGGTAGTTAAAAAGTTGAATCCTTTTTAATTCAAATAGTATGTCTCTTCCGAAATTACTATATTAGTTTGGCATGAAACAACATTTTATCAGATTTTATTTTTACCTTAGAATTATTATTTTCTGTGGCTTCAGGAAAGTTTAACAACATTGTAACTGTATATTTCGGTTACTGAACTTGTCTTTACTTATGCCAGTAGAGNGGGGTGGGGGGTGGGGGTTAGAACTTGGATTGCATGATTATGTTTTTCTGTGGTCCTATCATCCTACCTTAAGTTCATGGAAGCAGCTGCCATGCATCTTTACTTGAAACGTCTATTGGGTTATGAGTTCGTAAAATCAATTCCCATATGAGAATGCTTCTTGGAAGGAATGCCATGCACAATCTGTAGTAAATGTTACATGTTTCTCAAGAAAACATAAGAAAATGATGGTAAAGCAATATGTGGTTGGCGAAGTTTATACTTGGTTATTACAGTCTGAAGTATTATTTGGATTTTTAACATGTAACTCTGCAAGTGCAAATGAAAAAGAAAAAAGTAGAAGGGACCTGGTATTTTAGGATTTTGTCAGGCCTTGACAAGGCAATACTCGTGATGCATGATTATGTTCACAACATTTGCTACTTACATCTAGTCATGCCTATTTTCACTAGCTACCAGCTCTCTTAACTATTTCTATAACTTTCAGCTTCTCAGTGCCCGGGATATGGCACAGAGGACTTTTATTGGCCAAGATCGAATTGTTTACAGTACAGACAAGGACTTATACGAGCAAGATTATGATGCACAACAATGGGAGCAGAGATTCCGAGAAATTGAGAAGTCCGAATAGATGTTGTTACTTAAAGATTCTTTTGTCCTGTAAATTCTCGAGATCCATACACAAAAAGACTCGGATAAATTATGCCTTTGATCGACTCCAGCAGCAACATGCTGCAAATCCGCCAACTGTTAGCCATTGTGTATACTCAATTTGCTGAGGAGAATTGGAGCATTCCAAACAGTAGATTTTGATGCAATCAGCAACATAAATCCAGATCTGAGAACCACAAGATTCAACAGAGTAGTTTATTAAGAATGTACAAGTTGTGTACTCAGTATAACATATTTTCTGCTACAAAGGGGTGGTTTTCACGATAAAATTGGCCTCGGTATGACATTTAGTTCATTAAGATGTTAGCTGTGGTTATTCTGTATGTTGAATTTGAAAACATTGTTCTAAACACAAATAATTGAATATTTTCTGAAAGCACTGAACACCGTTCAAACTATTCCATGGAAAACCACGATATAGGGGCTAGTGTAATTAACTATGAACAATTGCGAAATAGTATTACACACTATCATTTTGTAAATTGATATGATGGCTTTAAGCACTGCACGGGATCAGTATACACGTGATTGTATATGTATATTTATACAAGAATTTGCGCAAACATACTTGTATGTATTCTAAATCAGATACACTAAATAGACTTGGTGTAACAACCTGACTTGTATGCGTGGTTGATTTTGATTTTTGGAAGCTTCGGGAATGTTTTGGTAGAGTGAATCTCATTTTAGAAGCTTAAAATTGTTGGAGTTGACCAAGGTCAACATTATTAGTAAACAATTCCGGATTGATGATCCGAGGGTTCCATTAGGTTTGTATGATATTTTTAGACATGTATGTTTGGTTCGGGTCTCAGGTGACCCGAGGTCGTTTTGGCGCTTCTAGTCGAAAGCTAGAAATTTCAACTTAAGAACATTTGAGATCCTTGAGTTTTGATGTTTGATTCTTGACTTGGATATTATTTTTGGTGTTTTGAGCCTTCAAGAAAGTTCGTGTTGGATAATATAGACTTGTTGGGATGATTGAATCGAGTCCTGAAGGGCTCAAATGAGTTTCAGATTGATTTCAGACTATTTTCATGTGTTTTTACTGGTGCTGGTGCTACAGTTGTCGCCTCTGCGATAATCATGTGCAAAGGTGTGAGGTAGCACCTGCGGGTGTTAGCTCGCATCTATGAGAAAAAGGGAGCTCGGGCTTGCTGTCGCATCTGTGGTGCTAGGTGCGCAGGTGCGAAATCGCACCTGAGGGTGTTGTCTCGCATCTGCGAGGAGCTCAACTCTGGAGGGAGGTTGCACCTGCGAGGGTTGGTCGTATGAGCGAAGGTCGCGTCTGCGAGAGCTTGGTCACATCTGCGATATTTTCACCGATGATGGATCGCATCTGCAGACCATCTTGCTGTTTCAGCGGTGTCGTACTTGTAATTATATTGTTGCATCTGTATATCTGCATCTGGGGAAAAGAAAAAGTCTTCGAAGTTATTTCTTCCTTCATTTTTGAGACCTAAACTTTGTAAAGAGACGATCTTTTGAAGGATTTTTGTTCCAACTTCAAAGTTTAGTAAATCTAACTTAGTTCTGATTAATTATCATGATTCCCTATAGATTTTTACCCCTAAATCTAAGATTTCAAAGTGTAGAAATCAGGTTTTGGGTTTAAACTTAAGAGAAGTAATTTTAATGATTTAGACCTCGATTTGAGGTCTGATTTTAATGTAAATCATATATTTAGGCTCGAGGATGAATGGGTCATCGAGATTTGGTCTTAATTTCGTATTTCAACCATGTGGGCCCGAGTTGACTTTTGTTTGACTTTTCTAAATTAGGCAACGATCGAACCTTTTTGATAAAAGAATAATTCCTAAGGCTTGTCTTGACTTATCGAAGTATCATTTGACTAGACTCTGAGTTACTTGGAGGCTTGTTCTTAAAGGAAAAATGGTATTAGATTGTTGAACTTGTTCCGGAAGAGATAAGTATCTTGATTAACTTTGACTTGAGGAAAATAGGTTGTAAATAGTTTATTTGCTATGTGCTAAGTGTGTTGGGGTTGACATATATATGTGGTGACGAGTGTATATGCGTTGCGAGGATTATAGCATGATCGGGTATAATTAGTCTTATTCATCTCTTGCCTGATTCATGTATTATTCTCTTATGCTATGATGGGTTGTGAAATTACTTAATTATTAATATGTTAGTGGCCATGCTTAGGCCTTGTAATGTTTATATGAGCGGTATGCCTCTTGAAATGTTGATTTCTTATTGCACCTAAGTCTCGCTTATCTACTTTGTAGTGTATTGTGCTTATTTACTTCCCCATATTATTATTATGCATTTTACCATGTTTGTCATTGATATACATGTATTTAGGAAGTATGAAAATGCTCAATATGTATTTCCATGTGGATTGGTGTGTTGGATGGGGTTGCATGCCGCAACAGTATGGTCATTGGATCGGGTTATCGCCGCACCGGTATTAAGATTGGATCGGTTTGCTCGCCACCATGGATATAATATCTTGTGCTTATTTCTCGTATATTGCTTCTCCTTTGTGAATTCCTTCATAAGACTATGCTATGTAGTTATTTCCGTGAAATTTGTATACTCGTTCTCTTATTCGATCCTTTTTAATTTATTTGTCTTTCTGCTTGTTATTTGTACAGGTTTATAGAATAAGTGTCTTATCATAGTTTCATCACTATTTAGTCGAGGTTATGGTCGACACTTGTAGAGTACATTATATCAGTTGTACTCATGCTATACTACTGCACTTTTTGTACAGATTAGTACCAGCGGAGTCCCGAGAGGTGCTTAGCTGTTGACATTTGGAGACTCGAGGTAGAGACACATACCCATTGGCAGGCCCTTAAAGTCACATTCCTTATCTTTATTGTTGTTACCTGATTCAGACAGTATTGTATTTACATTGGACCTTTGTATTTTAGTACTCAATAGAGCTCATGTACTCAATAATACCAGTTCTAGGGATTGTATGTTGTTCCATACTTTAACTTCAGTTCAGATTTATTATCTATGATATAAGATTGTCTTAGAATATTGTTGTAGTTCTTTCTATTGTTATTGGATGTTTGATTGTTGTATATGTTGGTTCGCCTATGTCACGATCCGGATTTTCCACCTTCGAGAGTCGTGATGGCGCCTACTAGTGAAAGCTAGGCAAGCCAATCATTTCAAATACTTACTTTTTTTCCATTTTTAAATCCTTTAACAGTTGTGATTTAGCATTATAATAGCAACGAAAATAAATAAGCGGAAGAACGAAACGTAACAATTTAATAATAATTCCGATACAAATCCATAACAAAACTACCCAGAACTGGTGTTACAATATCACAGACTGTCTAGGAATATCACAAATAAGGGTTCGAAAGATAAATACAACGATGTCTCTGAAATACATAAAAGAAATAGAATGGAAAGATAGAAGGAGACGTCGGGGCCTGCGGACGCCTACAAGACTACCTCGGGTCGCCTAAATGGACTGAAGGCAGCAACCTCACTACGGTCTAAAAGCTACAGCACCGGGATCTGCACACAGTGCCGAGTGTAGTATCAGCACAACTGACCCCATGTGCTGGTAAGTGCCTAGCCTAACCTCGGCGAAGTAGTGACGAGGCTAGGACCAGACTACCAAATAAGCTTGTGCAGTTAAATCATATACAACGGAAAAATAAAAGCAAATATTTACAGTTAAAGATGGGAGAGGAAAACATGTTGCGGGGAGTATTAGATAATAACAGAATACCAACAGAGGAATGTAAAGAAGAACCATAATTCAATTGCCAACAAGAATAAGGAAAACAAACACAATATTCACTTTCATTTCTTTTTTGTTGCGGCGTGCACCCCGATCCCAAATCATGTAATATCGTTGCGACATGCAACCCGATCCCATTTCATATAATATTGTTGCGGCGTGTAACCCGATCCCATTTCATATAATATTACCGTTGAGCGTGCAACCCGATCCCATTTCATATAATATTACCGTTACGGCATGCAACCCGATCCTATTTACAATTCAACATCAGTCATAAAAGAATCCCGGCAAGGGAACAAGAGTATAACAACAACATCCCGGCAAGGGAGACAATATCATAAACAATAACATCCCGACAAGGGAGACAATATCATAAACAGTAATATCCCGGCAAGGGAGACAATATCATAAACAATAACATTCCGGCAAGGGAACAAACAATGATAATCAACATATTAAGCATGAACAAATCACAACGGAGTCACAATAATTACAATATGAGACTCACGAGCATGCTTGACACCGACGTATAGATACTCATCACCATGCCTATACGTCGTACTCCACA